TGGGGCATTGCACGACACGGGTGCACTCACATACATGCAGGCAATACACTCATACACATAAAATAATAATAATAATAATAAAAACATTTTTAAAAAAGAGTAAACTCATAGAGGCTTGTTCTGGGTCAGGCATGTTCCAAACCCTAGTGTAGACTAACCAGTTTCTCCTCAAACTGCACTTGTTAGATAATCCTTGAATTCCTGATCCTCCTGTTTCTACCTCACAAATGCTGAGATTACTGACATTCATCACCATGGCTATAGGCTGCATTTCAAGGCCAAGTATCTCATCAGAACTTTCTTCAGCTGTTCACCTAAAAGTTCTTTTATTTCTTCCTCGGAGACTATCCTGAGCCCCATTAGCATAGGAAAGTCCCTAATTGTAGAACTTTCTGGAATTTTGAGACCACTGTCCACTCTAGTCAAATTTCTTGTATCTTAGGGATGGAAAGATCCCTAAGCAGCACTGGCTGCTCTTGCAGAGGATCTGGGTTCGATTTCTAGCACCCACATGCAGCTAACAATCAACCATGACTCCAGTTCCAGGGGATCCGACACCCTCTTTTGGCCTCTGCAGGCACTGTATGACACATGTGTACTCACATACATACAGGCAATGCACTCATACATGAAAAATAAAAATAATAAAGCTGGAGGCGGGGCGTGGTGGTGCACACCTTTAATCCCAGCACTTGGGAGGCAGAGGCCCTGCCACATTGAAATAACTTGTTATTATACTTATAGACCATTATTAAATTAAAAACTATGGTGCAGAAGCTGTAGAGACAGCTCAGTGGTTAAGAGCACTGGCTGTTCTTGCAAAGGACCCAGGTTTGATTTCCAGCACCCACATGACAGTTAACAACCACCCGTAACTCCAATTCCAGGGGCTCCAACACCCTCTTCTGTCCTCTGTGGGCAATGCATGACACGTTCACCTACCCACATGCAGGCAATGCACTCATAGATATTAAATAAAAATAATAAATATTTAAAAGTAAAATATTTTTAAAATTTTCTTGCATCTCCCAGTTACAACTGTCCTACTGTCTTTTAGCCAATCATCAAGCACCCAGTGACACCCTAAGAGTCCTGTCGCCCGTTTGGCTACTTTCAGGTAGCTGTACCTAGAATTTCAGCTGGGCTGATTTACTCAAGGCCTTCGTCCATTTATCCCTAGAGACTCTCCCCGCGTGGATCAGTGGTTTGTGGACCCAATTCCGCAAGATTTGAGACTTTATTAAGAATAACCGCTTGGCTCGCAGGCCAAATGAGGGACTTCCGGCCTGACAGCCCCGCTCGAGGTTTCCCGCCATTTGTTAACTGCCACACTCAGGTGAAGTGACGTCAGGACCTCGAAGCTTCTGGTTGGCTCCGCACCGACGCACGTGGCAGTCGAGGTCGGCTACTGTTGGGGACGCTGGCTCGGCGGAGGGGGCCGCAGGCCTTGGCAGCCACCCTCGAGCTCCTGCTGCTGTAGCCGCCGCAGCGGCCGGGACCAGCGCAGCCTCCAGGGCAGCGCGAGGCTGCGGCGGTCAAGCACGAGGTGCGCAGGGGCTGTGGGGTCCGGGGCGCTCGTCGCGCCCAGCAGCAGGTAGTCGGTGCCTGGTCGGATGCGCAGGCAGCCGCAGGCCAGATCGGCGTGCGGCACCCAGGCCTCCTGGCCGCCTCTGCGCACCGGTCGTGCGCGCTGCTTGTACACCGCCTGCACGCGTAGCGCCAGCCGCCACCACTCGGAACCCGCCGCCTCCGACGCCAGCACCTGAGCACGCAGTACTGTGGGAGGACACCGGCAGGTGCTGGGTTACCTCAGAGTCCCCAAGGGTCGGGCTTGGCCTGCACGGGATGACCTGGAATGGAGCCTTTGAGGGCCAGTGGGGTGAGGACGGGCCTGATGGAGGAGATGCTGTCATGGTAGTGGGAAGCGGTTGGAGGAGGCAGGCGGGGCCTAGGTCTATGAAGTGGAGGCCATGGACAGCGTGGGAAAGTGGCCCAGGGTGGTGAATGTCAAGGGAATGTGAACTGGGATGACCAGGATCATGGTTGATAAGGGTATGTGAGGTGGTTATAGGATCACGGATGCCAAGGGCATGTGAATCCGAGGTCCAGGATCGAGGTTGGAAAGGGCATGTGACGTGCTTGCAGGATCGGATGTCAAGGGCATGTGAAATGGAGGTCCTGAATCATGGTTGCAAAAGGTGTGTGAGATGGGGTGTGGTTTCCAAGATTGTGATTGGGAAGACCATGTAAGGTGGTCCAGGATTTAGACTGGGAAAAGCCTATGAGGTAGGGTTTCAGGATTGTGCTTAGGAAGGGTGTTGGAAGTTAGGGTCTGGAGTTGGAAACAGCATGTGAGGTAGGGTTTAGGATTGTGGTTAAGAAGGGTGTGTCAAGTTAGAGTCCAGATTTCAAGTTGGGAAGGGTGTGGGAGGTAGTTTTGGGATAACAGATGCCAAGGGCATGTGAAACAGAGGTCCAGTTTCATGGTTACAAAAGGTGTGTGAGACTAGGGGCCTGGGGGGGGGGCCAAGATTGTGATTGGGAAGACCATGTAAGGTGGTCCAGGATCCAGGTTAGGGAGGGCATGTGAGGGTTTCAGGACTGTGGTTAGGAAGGGCGTGTGAAGTTAAGAGTCCAGAGTCGGAGATGGGAAGGGTGTGGGAAGTGGGGATCCAAGATGGAGGTTAAGAAGGTTTGGGGAAGGGGGTGGAGGTCTAGGATGATGGTTGGGAATGCTAGGGCTGTGCACCTTCCAGACAAAGGTCAGACGGGGAGGATCCCAGGAGCCTAGGAAACGATGGATGGAGCTTTGGGGGTCATGTTAGAATTAAAAGTGGAGACATCTTGCTGGGCATGATGGTGCATGCCTTTCATTCCAGCACTTGGAAGGCAGAGGCAGGCAGAGCTCTGTGAGTTCAAGGCCAGCCTGGTCTACATAGTGAGTTCCAGGCCAGCAGGGGCTACGGGGAGATCCTGTCTCAAAAAGAACAAAAAATTTAAAAAAAGAAGTAGAGACATATGACAGGCAAGACTGAGGACAGGGCAGAAGCAGCAGGTCCAGGGTCCCAGGGTTGCTGCTATTTCAGCTGGCCTGGAGCTCACTCTGTAGTCTAAACTGGCGGGGAACCGGTTGCAGGCCTTCTGCCTCAGCCTTCTGGGAGCTGGAGATTACAAACACACACCACCATGCCTAGCTAAGTACAAGGTATTAGTGTAGCAGTCAGAAGGTCCCAGGAGTAGAGGCCTCAGGAGAGATCGGTTTTGCCAGAAAAAGGGCTCTAGGGTGAATCTGGGGACCAAAGATGAGTTGAACCCTGGAGCCTGAGAATTGAGATCATGCTATCATGAGTCAAAGTGTGCTGTATGAGAGAGATCAGGCAAGCCTAGGGTCTGGACTCTGGCTAGCAAGCTGTGTCTGTGGGGCTAATATCCTGTGGAGAGGATGGGGAGACTCCACCTCATAGGCTTGAGACACTGAAGTCAGTTGATGATCCTAAAGACAAAAGCCCATGGTCCTATACAAAGGGAAGTAGCTGGGGTTGATCTGCATCTGTTGGCTAGATTCCTGAGAGTCAGAGCTGAACTCATGGGCCTCAGGTTTGGTGGCTGCTGTGATGGGGAGAGGGGTTCAAAGGCTTAGATATCTGGGACCTGAAGGGAAACCACAGGATGAGATGGGCCCTTCCATTTAACTAGATGCCCCTTCTCCTTTTAGCACCCTGAGATGTCAGGCTGAAGGAGAGGATGAAACTACAAATGCAAGATGTGGGGGACAAAGAGAAACCTGAGAAGGTAGGGGACACCCTCTCCCCACTGTCTTCCACTTTTGCCCTCTGTTCCATCAGATCCTGGCACAGGAAGGGCCCTTTAGGGCCCAATACCCCTTCCCATTTAAGGTAAGAAAATGGAAGACTGAGGTGAGGCAGGTCCTCGTCTCTTCAGTACTTACTGTAATCCTGCTGGCAGAACCTCTGCAGGCTCATGTGCACACTGGTGTCCGAGACATTGCAGTAGTTTTGACATTGTGGGTCTGGGGAGGGTCAGGCCATCTGCAGTGGGCTCCCATGGCCTGGACTACATTCCCCCTCCTTCCATTTCGGCAGACATCTGGACTGCCTGCACCCTCAAGAAGGACTGGGCACCCTCAGACCCAGTCAGCCCACCCCCAACCCCTTTTGCTGCCTGTAATGTCTGTGCCAACCTCTTACCAGAGCGAGAAGCAATTGGAGTAGTAGCAAGGGTGGTTGTTACCTCGGGAATTCCTGTCAGACCACGGGAGAAAGGAAACTCTTGATTATCCCCCACCTCAAGGAATCCAGGCATGCGGACTCCCAAGAGTGGGAGAGTCCCTTATCCTCCTCTTCCAAGACCCTCCACTTCCCCACCAAGAACAAGGAGTCTAGAACCCCAGCCTCCTCCTTCCTAATAATAAAAGAGCCTACAATTCAGACCCAGGTTCTCCGAAGCCTCTCCTGCCTACTTCCAAGCTGCAGCCACACTGCACTTGTCCACTGAGACCTGGACAGTCCCCATCCATCTCCGTTTAGGACTTATGGTCATGTAATATGGGACTCACGCTGGCAGGGCATACTAGGGGAGTGGCTCTGCTGGTAGCCGGGACCACAGCGATTGCATGTCAGGCCTGTGACTCCTAGCTTGCAGAAGCATTGCCCACTGGTCTGGTTGCACATGCCTCCTGTTGCTCCAATTGGGTGGCACTGGCAGGCTACTTGTGGAGAGAAACAAGGTATGAGGCATTTAGGATAAAGAGGCTCCCTACAGAATCCATGTCCCACTCCCCAAACCTAAGTCCACCCCAGCCTTCTTCCCGCACACCTAGGGATCCAGACCCCACCTTCTGCACCCTCCAACATGGAATCCTGACCCTGTATTCTTTCCCCTTCAGCCTGGCTTCAGACCACACTCACCCCTGCATGCCTTGGGGCTGGTGATGGGCTGGCTTGGGTCCCTCCAGAATCCTGGCTGGCAGTAGTGACAATGCCGCCCAGCCGTGTGGTGGCGGCATCGCTCACACACACCCCCACTGTGGCCGCCTGATAACCTGAATAGTTCAGAGTTGAATCGGCAGCGTCGGGCATGCTGGTTACAGGAGCAGGCTGGAGACGAGATGATGTTTAAAACTGTCATTCAGGCACATCAGGGTGGGGCCTCTGTCCCACATCCCCAGCTGTCTTCCCACAACTCTGCTCTCAGGACAAGAAAGAATATGAGATTTGTAATAACAGAGACTGCCTTCATTCCCAAGGTGTCTTAATTCTCATTCTAAAATGTAGCATTGCAGGGGTCACCAGTTAGCCTGTGACCCTCCTGAGAGGCTCTATGAGGTGCTGAAAGAGGATGGGCTGGAAGTTGGACGAGCACATGTGACCTCCATGCGGCAAGGAACTGCTCCATCCCATAGTTCAGTGCCACTGGCCACAGGATGGCAATTGTTTACTTTCTGAGGCACCAAAGAGATAAAGAAAGACATGCTTCACCCAGGGTGCAGCACAGAGCATGTATTAGGTACCATAGTGTTCCCACACACTGGGCACCATGCACAAAACATGTCATGCTCATGTGAGCTCTGAGAAGCTGCTACCATCATTACCCCCATCTGTAAGATGGAGAAAATGAGACACAGAGGTGAGGTCACCTCCCCAAAGCAGCACAGCCATGAGGGGGCCATTAGAAGAATTTGAGCCTGTTTCCTGAGCTGGCCACTTTAGGGTGCCTCTACAAAGCCCACAAGATTGTTGACCACGTGCAGTGCATTTTCCATGGGGACATTTTATTAGGTTCTCAAAGGCAAGGATTCCCAAATCTCACCTCTGATCAAAGACACTAGGAAACTTTTGTATTTTTTGGGGGGGGGGACAGGATCTCATGTAGTACAGGCTACCTTCAGACTTGGTCTGTAGCCAGACTGGCCTAGAATTCATGATCTTCTTTCCATCTCCCAATTACCAGGACTAGCTTACCATAAAATACATAAATCCAGGGCTCATTCAGCATCATCAGGCCCATAGGTCTAGCAGGCTTCCGCAGAGTGCCTAGTTAGTCTGTGACAAGACCTGAACTCAGGAGCCAAGAGCCTGAGCTAGCAGCTCTAGGAGCCCAGCAAAGAAGTGGAGTGGTCAGGGAGGAAGCAGCTGTGTGTTCTTGAGACTGACACTACTTTCACTCAATCCTCCATTGCTCCCTGTCCAGTGAGGTGCTCTGCCATCTCCCAAGGGTTTGGGTGGCTTTAAGTGGCAGCGCTGCTCTGATCCCACAGCATAGAGGCAGACAATGGCTTTGCCTCACTTCTCTTCTGGGATAACAAGTAGGGGACAGTCAAGCCCTCTCATCTCATCTCTAAAGCTACAGGAGTTTTACCATCTGTCATGCATGTCCCTAGGGCCATACTCCTCTCAGCTTGGGTGGGTATGGCCATCCTCAGGGATACTGCCTCCCCAGGGCCCAGGCCCTGTCCCAGCCTCAGGACATGTGAGTCTCCCCTGTTGGGCCTTGAGGTGAAGGAGGACAGAGGGTTGGGGTACTATGCCCTCCAGGGAAGGCCAGGAAATGTATGTATCTGTCTTTGTCTGTTGGCCTGTGAAGTCATTGCCCATAGGCCTGAAGGTACTCAGACCCTCTACCAAGGTTACAGACAGAAGTAGAAAAACAGATAGGAAAGAGTGGACAGTGGCTGAAGGAAGAGGGGCCCAGAATGGGTGCTGGGGACAGCACCATCTAGGAAGACCCAAGTCTCTCAATCATTTCACTGCTGTGTCCCCTCTGGTCTTGCCTTCCTGTGTGGGAATGGTACCATGGCAGTTGCTCAGAACTGGATACAGAGCTCTGTAATCAGGGCTTTGTGTACTCCAGTTCTCTGGTTTCCCAGCAGCCTTAGGGAAGTTCTGTCACTGTCCCCACTTTATGTAGGAGGAAACCAGGTACTAGAAGCCAAATCCCCTGCCTGAAGTCACGTAGTTGATAAGCTAAGGAAGTGAGATTGGGTCAAGACTATCTGCTGAGACTATATGTTCCTGCAGGTGTCCTGGGACACCCAGTGTGACAGCACCCATCCGGAACTGGGCAAGTGTGATCAAAGCTCAGATCTGGGCCCCAACACACCTGGCAGCTCTGTGTCCTTGTGTAAGAGACATCTGGCTGCGGTCTCCTCATCTGGACAGTGAGCTAGCTGGTAGTTAATCAGTGCATGTTTTGTGACTAAACATTCTCCATATGGTGTTTCCCAGGAGTCAGGAAGTATCTCTGCCTGTCCCCCTGCCTGAGCCCCTGTGCTAGGCCAGGCCCTGGGCTCTGCACTGCTCAGGACTGTCACTGATGCCACATGGTTACCTACAGTGAGTGCTGGGAGAGCCTAGAGCCCCTGACAGCAGGTGGGGGACTGCTCATGTGTGCATGTGTGTGAATGACATGGTCAGCAAATAGGAGAGGAGACCCGGTCACTGTACAGTGGGAGAACAACCAAGGACAAGTGGTTCTGGGAGGGAAGAGAGCATCCTACATGCTTTTGGACGAGGGGTCAACAACGGGTGTCCCAGGGGGCCAAGTGGTGGTGGGGGTGGAGGGAGATACCCAGGACTTACGCAGGCATGGGTGGGGATGCCGGGGTGTGGCAGGCCTCCAGGGCCAGTCTTGATGGGATGGGCGGCAGCTCTCACACCCTGGGCCAGTGGTATGGTGGCGGCAGCGGCAGCGAGGGGGCCGGGCCTGGGCAGCGCACTGGGCAGCATGGCCATGGCACTGGCAGCGGCCTCTCACCCCAGTGGCTGCTAGCCCTGCCTGGCCCCCAAACTCCACACGGAGGTGACTGGCCACTACCCAAGCCTTGGGGCCTGGTGGGGAATGAAAGGTTACCCTCTCAGGGCCCTCCAGGGCCCCAGGCCAGGCAGGTCTGTACCACAGTGGCCTCCAGGGGCCCCCTCTGGCCCAGGCAGCAGAAAGGACCAGAGCTGGGGGCCCTGGGGTGCAGAAGCGCAGGGTGACAGATGTCAGGAGGAAGGGGCCATCCAGGTCCAGGATCAGACTGCCATTGCAGGTGGGGCCAGGGCCAGGGTTAGCTGCAGGAAGCACACAGGCCTGAGGACAGGGGGCTGTCACTCTGCCAGCCAGCCGGGTCACTGGGGGCAGGCAGAAGCGAGGGTGCCCTCCTGGATCGTAGCATGGGTCTGAGGTAGCCTGACTCAGGAGGAGCAAGAGAGCGAAGGCCGTGGGCATGGCCTCGGCAGAGCCAGCACCTGCAGACAGAGGTGGCAGATGGGGCTACAGTCAGCCCCCACTTTGCTGCCAGAGGCTCCCTGTGGATGTTGCATTCCAGTCCAGTCTGCTCAAGCCCCCACCCTGGCTGCTTCGAAGCGAGGAAAATAGTTCCATCTGGGGAGAATTACTGTTTACATAACCCGGAGGGGAAAGAACGCAAGTAAAATCAAGAATTTTGCCTGAACTAATCCGGAGCTTAACACTCCAGAGTTATCCATCAGTGTCCGGAGGCAGGGGCCCTGGGGAGATGGTGAGGGTTAGATGAGGGACCAGTGGGCCAATAGATGGGAAAACCTACAGGGAGTCAGGGAAGAGATGGGGGGATCATGGCTGAGGAAAGAAACAGAGAAGAGGAGCAGGAGCCAACAGGCCTTGGGCAAGGCCAGAGGGACAGACAGGGTGGGGCAGAGGTTGGGAGACTCAGGCGCACAGACACTTGGGATGGATGGAAGTATGGATAGCAAGAAGCTGGGAGATCCTGGGGCTGAGAAGGGCAAGCAGGTGGATTCAGACATCTGGGATAACCTGAGGACAGCACAAAGCCTGGTCCCAGCCCCACAGGGGAGGGAGAGCTGGCAGTATCCAGTAGGAGATCAGAGGCAGAGGCATAGGCCCTGGCCCAGGTGGATCATAGTAGAGGCCTTTCTCAGAGGCAGGCCCTAACCTTGTTCACACCCTGGGCACGGAGAGGGATTGTCTTTAAACAACCCCAGCCTCTGCCACCTACCCCAACCCTCTACCCTTAACCCTCCCCTACTCCTGTGCAGACCCAGAGAATAGACCTGAGGGAAGAATGGAGTGTGGGGGCTGGAAGCCAGTGTCACCCTGGGGTTGGAGAGCAGTACTGAGAAAGTGGAAGCCAGGCCTCCCTTTAGTATTCCGAATGTTGGGACCCCACAGTTAAATTTCTAGAACTTTCTGATTAACAGCCCCACCTGCTGCTCTAGGCCTCAGACCCAGGATTTAAGTCTCCATGTTCCCAACAGTGCTCAGGCCTTCCTCAGTGTAGATGGGGGAGCTGATGTCCGGGTTTATGTAATAAAGGAGGAAAAGCAGGAAGTGGCACAAAACGTGCCAGATGCCAGGAGACTAGAGACCGGAAATCCAGAGCTCAGGAGGTATTAGGAGCCAGAAGACTGAAGCCCTCAACTGCCCCGACTCAGGACTGGGGATCTCCAGACCTTTCTGAGCCCCTTGCCTGGACCCTTACCTCTGAATCTGCATCTTAACTGAGAGCCACATAGTCCATATTCCACTGCCAACAGTGTCTCCCCTGCCCAGGCCACAGGCCTGGTCTCTGCCCCCAGGAGTCTGGTGCCATTATATACCCATAAGGCGGTGTTGGCTGGCCATTAAACCCCAGGCCCTCATGTAAGCACACGTTTCTTGCTGGGTAATTCTGGGGTCCCACCTTCTGACCCTTAACACCTTAAGGAATCAAGCTGGAAGTTCTCTGTGTTCTGGAGAGAGGGTAGGAACTGGCCCTTACCGATCCTGGGCCTAAACTCTTCTACCTCTCAGAAACAGGCCCAACCAAGCTCCATAGGCCCATAGGCAGTTTTGCTGGGTAGGTGGGGTCCACAGGGGACCCAGGCTTTTTCCCCCACGTTTGGCATGCGTCCCCCACTTGGCTTTTAGGGCATCCATCAAACCTGCTTAGAAGAGAAGACTGTCCCGTAGTCAGTTCCCAAGCTCTTCCATAGGAGCAGTGCTGTGGTGGGCTCTCGGGAGGAGTGACGAGTGGCTGTTCTCAGGCCCAGGCTAGTGGGGATTCTGGGCGGGAGCACAAAGCAGAGCCCGCAGAATCCAACACCCCTGCCCACCCCACCCCCTGCCCCAGCCCCTCGCCAACAGCAACCACTCTCCCTGCAGGGACCCCTGCCAGACAGGCCACCCGAGACTATGTGGGACCGGAGCGCTGTCGCCCCCAGCAGGCTTGCAGCCTGGTGGCCCAGAACAAGCTGGTCTAGGAAACTCCAAGCAGGTAGGAGCAAGAGCTGCAGATGGGCCTGAACTGGGGTCCTGTCCAGCTCCTACTCTGTGCAGCCCCTCTGACACCCCCAGATGCCATGGAGTAACTGGGGTGGGGCATGCACCTTGGGAGTTAAGCTAGCCTGCTAGTTCCCTAACTCCAGGCCAGCCCCTTCTAGTCCCTCTGGAACCTCCTGACACTGTGGGTTAATTGAGCATTAAGGTCGGTTGGCTTCAAGCCCTAAAATTGTTCTTGGAAGGCTCAGAGCAGCCACAGGGAGACTAGTGTAGTCTGTAAGGGTGGCAAAGGCAGTGGGACAGGAAGAGCGCCTCTGGTCTTGACAAACCTGGGTAAAAGATGGGGAGAAAGGTGGCATGGGCCAAAGGGACCCCCAGAACAACTGGTGTCCTCAAGGTCTTGGGAGTTTTGGCTGGAAATGCTCATGCAACTATTGTATACCTTTGAGCAGTTATGACTTCCATCTGAGCAAGGCAATGGTGTGTGCAGTTTGTGAGTACATCCCATTCACTGTTACCCGTTGTGCCATTGTGTGAAACTGGCCCAAGATGAGAGTCAACCCACTACCCTGGAGGTGGGAAATGCCCCTATTCTGGCACCAGGTGACCCTTGAGGCCAGGATCTGGTAGGAGTTAAAGACAGACGGAAGAGCTGATGGTTAGGAGGAAGCATGAACTATGAGAGAAGGGGCTGGGGGCCGACAGACCCCCATATCAGAGATCCAAGTCCTAGACAAGGGACATGTGGCACTGGTGGATACAGCAAGTCTTCCCAGGGCTGCCTGTGTCCTGGGTCATGAGACTGAGCAAGGTAGGTCCCCACCTTTTAGACAGAAAGGCAGAAAACTGGTCCGTACTGTAGACTGTTAGGTGTCATATGCTTTGGAACAGGGACAGGTGTTGTGGCTTCAGAGGGATGGCAAGGAGAGACAGACAGGAGGAGCCTTGCCCTGGCTGTCAGAGGACATGCCAAGGTTTGGGTCTTCTGTAGGATCCTCCTTGCCCAGAATGGTCCCTAAGCTGTCCCCAGAAGGACCTTTCTTCCTCACTTTGTTCTTGGTAGCCTGAGTTGACAGCATACACCCTAGGGTGAATGGGGAAACAAGAGGGAGAGCCAAGCAGGAAGAGATCTGTTCCCCAATTGGAAGGTGGCATGGAGGTGCTTCCCAAGTAGAGGGACTTTCACACCAGGAGACCTGGCTTCAAGAGGGCTCAGGCCTGTGTCTACCCTCCAAGATTCAGGTGGAGGAAAGGGTTTTCCAGTTCTTGAGGCTGAACATCCTTAAGGGGGCACTCTTGAGGAAACAGGATGGAGGCGGGGCCTTACTGTGCACTTACACAGAACCTCAAGATGGCAGCAGCACAGCGCTGCCGGGAACAGAACCCAGAACAGATTCTCCTAAGGCTGCAGCCGAGCTCTGAGCTCTTTCTCTCCCCCCACTGGCCCTGGTTTCCAGTCCCTGCTCTGCTGCCTGGTGCTGAGTGGGGGTCTTCTAGACCTGCTACGGATCTGACTTGGCTGGGAGTTCTACTTCTCCAGGACAGGACCCTGAGTTGGGAGGATAGCTAAGAGATATGATTGGGAGGAGAAAGAGGGCTCAAGTGGCGCTAATTTGCTTTGTGGAAACTAAAGCAGTGAAGGAGGTATGCTTCTAGTATGTCTGGGGGTGAGGGCTGTGTCTTGTAGTCAGAGCTGACTAACCTTGCTGGGGCCACTGAGTTAAACTCCACACATTCAAGAAGGAGCCAAGAATGTTGAGATTTCCAAATGGGGTCAAATGAATAAAGTAAGGGTACCTGGGATACAGAAGAGCTGAGGTAGCCCCCAGAACCTTGAGGCTTGTACAGAGAGAAAGCAAGTCAGCACATGATAGAGTGGGCATGTGAAGAATTTTGGGAGCCCTGGGAAAGCTGGGACCTGACTGCATAAGGAACCTTGGAGAGAGAAGAGGTTTTTGATCCTGTCCCTAAGACGGGGAGCTCTGGATGTATCAGACCCAGTGGAACCAAGATAGGACTTACAGGTTAAACATGTGTCTCCTTACACAAATGCACGTGCGTGTGCGTGCACACACACACACATACACGTCCCGGCGAGGGACAGTGGAATGAAGAAATGGGACTCTTGGTGGTTCCTGAAACCAGTGACCTCAGGGCCACATTTGACCCACACTAGACAAATGCCCAACAGGAAGTGAAAAGTATCCACATGGAAACTTGGGTCACAGCAGTGTCATCTGTCACAGGTAGAAAGTGGAAGGAACCCAAGTGTGCAGCAGCTGGTGCAGCAATGAGCTAAACATGGCCTTCCCACACAGCAGACTGTTCAGATGACATGGCTATAACACAGGCAGGAATTGCCAGATTCAAGGGCCAGATTACATGCTTCTACATGTTAACCATGTGGACCAGCAAGTCTCAGACAGAGCCAGCTTAGCTGAAGGGGGCAGCAGACTGGGAGATGGGGCAATCCTGGAGGTGCAGGATCTTTTGAATGAAGCAAGTATTTTGAAAGTGATGTCAGTTTATCAGCCCCAAGTACACTGAAAGCTACAACACTGAACACTGACATGGGTGGATTCTTGGGTACACAAGTCACAGTTCAGTAAAGTGATCATCAAAAAACATGCTTGTTTCAGATCCATATTATGAAGGCCAAAAACTATACAGCCTGACTAGTATCACAGAATGTTCCAGAGGCAGGAACTGAGCACTGCCCATCCCCTGAATCCTGGCCCAGGAGCAGGTGCAGCACTGCCATATTTGACTGGTAATGGCAGGTGCAAGCCTACACAGGTTTGGGGAGTCAGGGACTCTGGCCAGCTTGGATCTGTCATACCACAGGCAGTGAGACGGCACAATGATTAGCATTGTGGGTACTGTGGCCACTCTCAGAAGAAGCATTATAAAGTAAGATAGGATTATTTGAACAAGGCATTGTAATTCTGTCAGAGGGCGACTCAACTCTTGGGAGTCAGTTGGCTCACACTACCTTATGGGATCCCAGGATCGAACCCCGGTTGTCAGGCCTGCCCATAAGGACCTCCCTCTACTGGCTGAGCCATCGCTGGCCTGAGCACTGTAATTCTGACAGTGGATCTGATAATGGAGACAGGTGAGTGACTGAAACATTGAAACATGCAGAGGTATGGAGGCACTGGGTCCAGGATGACCCGCCAGAGCCGAAGTGGGAAAAGTGACGATTTCAGCAGCAGGAGCACGAAATGTAAGATGTATCATTGCTTATTTCTGGAAATTGCCATTTAATATTTTCAAACCACACTACCTTGGCTAACTAGAACTCTAGAAGGTGCAACTACGGATAAAGAGGACGACTGTGTGCCATTTAATTCTCTTGCCCCCCCCCCCCAGAGAGTTCTGTCAGGACCATAGAAATGACTAATCACAGATAAGATATTGTTGACTGTAGCCATTTTCAACAGTTAGACCTAGTCAAAAGCAAAAAGACTGAGAGGTCCAATAAGTCAGAGGTACTGTACAGAGGGTGGGCCAACCCAGAACCAGGGAGAAAGACTCCCAGACAGTTAATGGACTGGGGAGACATCCGATTCCCCAGTCATCCGTCCTTACTCCTGTCTTCTTTCTCCCACAGCTGGCCAGACATTCAGGGCCCTCTGTCCACCTCTTTCCACCTTCTACTTTTTTTTTGCTATCTTCGTGGTGTCCACCATTTTCCATTGCCACCGGCGCCTGGCTCTGGTCCCTGCTCCCTGGGCCTCCTCAGCCCTTGTGGTCCTGGCTCCCACACACCTACCCTTAGAGGGCATGTTCACCATCAACGCCATCGGCCGCCTGGGCAACCAGATGGGCCAGTACGCCACACTGTTTGCGCTGGCCAGGATGAACGGGCGGCCTGCCTTCATCCCTGAGTCCATGCACAGTACGCTGGCGCCGATCTTCAGGATCAGTCTCCCGGTGCTGCACAGCTCCACTGACAGGCAGATCCCGTGGCAGAACTACCATCTCAACGACTGGATGGAGGAGCGCTACCACCACATCCCAGGACGGTATGTGCGTCTCACAGGGTACCCGTGCTCCTGGACCTTCTACCATCACCTGCGCCCGGAGATCCTGCAGGAGTTCAGCCTACACGACCACGTGCGGGAGGAGGCCCAGGCCTTCTTGCGGGGCCTGCGGGTGAATGGGAGCCGGCCCCGCACCTTTGTGGGCGTCCACGTGCGTCGTGGGGACTATGTACACGTCATGCCCAAGGTGTGGAAGGGTGTGGTGGCTGACCGGGGCTACCTGGAGCAGGCCCTGGACAGGTTCCGGGCTCGCCACCAGTCCCCAGTCTTTGTGGTCACCAGCAACGGCATGGCCTGGTGCAGAGAGAACATCAATGCCTCAAAAGGGGATGTGGCATTTGCTGGCAATGGTCTTCAAGGCTCACCTTCCAAAGATTTTGCACTGCTCCTGCAGTGCAACCACAGCATCATCACTGTGGGTACCTTTGGAATATGGGCCGCCTACCTCACAGGTGGGGAGACCATATACCTGGCCAACTTCACCCAGTCCAACTCCCCCTTTAACATGGTTTTTAAGCCACAGGCTGCCTTTTTGCCTGAGTGGGTGGGCATTGCTGCCAACCTGAAACAGGGCTAACAGAGAGGCCCCTAGCCCTGTGTGTACATGTCCCTTCCTCATTTATGTTCTCTTAAAATCTCCACCCTTGCCTGCTTTTGTGTCCTTGTGAGGTGGTCTCCTGGTGAAGGCCAGGCTGGCCTCACTTTAGTATATAGAACACTTTTGCTCCCACCTCCCAGGTCCCCACCAACTTGAATCCCCATTTCTTGCCCTTGTCTGCCTGCAGGACTGCATGCCTTTTCCTTTACAGTCAAGAGTATGTCTGCCCAGAGCCCTTTCTGACCTCATTGTCGTCTGTGAAGTTTTTGCTATGGTATCTGGGGACAAAGATGGGGGCTGTCTGCCTGCCCTCTTCTATAGCATGACAGTCACCTTAAAGTAATAGTCATTGCCGGGCATGGTGGTGCAGGCTTTTAATCCCAGCATTAGGGAGGCAGAGGCAGGCAGATGTCTGTGAGTTCAAGGCCAGCCTGGTCTACATAGTGAGTTCCAGGACAACTGGGGCTACAGGGAGACCCTGTCTCAAAAAAAAAAAAAATCAAGAAAAGTAATAGTCATGAGCTGCCTTCACAGTCTGAGGTTGGGCACTGAGGAGGGGCCAACCTGTATTGTGAGGATACCACTGTGGTCCCTGTCCCTGGGTCCACTCAGTTTGGAGGAGGGGCTCCCCTGGCAGATGGCTGGTGCTGGGCCTGCAGGGACTACTCCAGGGTACTCACTACACTGTGGCCATGCCAAGGCTGATGGCTACCACCAGGGAAAAAAATGATACTTGGGAAAGCTGGGCATGGTGGTGCACACCTTTAATCCCAGCACTCAAGAGGCAGAGGTCAGCAGATCTCTGTAAAACCAGGATAGCCTGGTCTACATAGTGAGTTCAAAGCCAGCCAGGACTACAGGAGACCCTGTCTCAAAAGGAACCCCCCCCACACACAAAAAAGCTGGGCTCCTTCAGATACCAAAGAGTTGACACTCTTCACCACCTGGCCTCACTATCCCTCGTGCCACATCCTATTGATTAGAGCAGCCTGACCTCACTATTTAAAATGAGGTCCCAGGACTGATGGGTCAGTATGAAAGGCCCGCCACAGTCTGGGCAGCTTAGAAGACAGCCCTGGTCCTGGGACCTCATAGTGCAGTGGTAGTGCATCTGACTCCACCAGGAAGCACTGGTCCCACAATCATGAAGGGCAGAGATGAGGTGTGGGCAGGTCTGCTTCTGTCTGGCTCTGATGGAGGGTCTGTTCCTAGGTCACACGTGGCCATCTTCACCTGTGTCTCTGCCCAGATTCCCTCTTTTGTTTCCCCTTCCCTTTTTATTTATTTATTTTGGTCTTTTTGAGACAGGGTCCTCCCTATAGCCCCAGCTGACCTGGAACTCACTATGTAGAACAGGCTGGCCTCGAACTCACAAAGATCGCCTGCCTCTGCCTCCTGAGTGTTGGGATTGAAGGCGTGCGCCACCACACCCGGCTCTGCTTCCCTTTTTATTTTTTGTTTGTTTACTTGTTTTATTTTGAGACAGGGTCTCAGTGACCCAGACTGTCCTTGAACTCATTCATATCCTAGGCTGGCCTTGAACTCAAGGTGATGATCCTCTTGCCTGAGCCTCCTGAGAACCAGAATTGTAGATATGAGCCAGTACACATGACTCCCACATTTCCTCTTGTAGGGACTCTAATGCTGGACCTGTGCCCCGTGACCTCATTTTAAATAGCATCTACAAAGGTCTTGTCTCCAAACACAACCATATTCTGAAGTGCAGGGTGGGTACCTAGGGACTTTTGTGGAGAACCAAATCAGTGCATAAAGCTGACTAAGTTGCGGGCACCTTGTGACCAGCCTTCCGCTAATCAGATTGCTTGCCTCTTGTTCTCTGAACTGCTCTCCTTCTAACTCCTTATTCCCAGAGTATCCCTGTAAGAAACTCAAAGCAGGTTGTAGGAGGACCTTAGGGAAGTATGGTGTGTCTCCCACTTACCTTAGATCAGGGATCTACGCTCCTCCTCTGTAACTTTCTCCATTCCTGTGTCCACAACCTATAGCTTCCTGTTGGGTTGGGCTAGTGGGGCCAAGTGCAAAGTTGGAATGAGTGAACTTGGCATGTCCTTATCCTGCCAGGGACAGTGCAGCTCCCCACAGTCACTGGCCTTCAGGAGCTCCACAGTTTCTCTAAACCGCCTGTCGTGTTAAATCACTTCACATTGTCCTGTGTGAGTGTTCTATGACCCACCTAAGGTCACTGATACTTTGATATTATATAAAAGAAATTTCCTACTTTGTAGTGGATGCTCACACTAGTAATCCAGCATTCAGGATGCTGCGGCAAGAGACAGTTTCACATTCGAGGCTGGACTGGACTGCATAGTGAGTGTCTCAAGAAGGGGGCAGGGGGCACGACAGGAATGGGGGAGAGAAGAGAAGGGAGAAGGAGCGAGAAGGAAGAAGTTGGTTCCCTGGTTGACATTTCCCTCACTTCCTTGCCAGCATAGTGAGTGGGTGAGGTCATGTTGATCCACAGAGAATAACGTGGACACCGACATTTCCGGCACACTTGCCTGGGAAGACAAAGCCTCTGAGCTACCAAAGCACTGGGTTGGGAATCTGGTCCCTGTTCCCTGCCCACATCATGGATGACATGGCCACATATGTGGAGGCCCCATCACTCTCAGAAGCCCCATCACTCTCAGAAGCCCCAAGGAGGTGACCTATGTAATGGTGACCTATGTAATGGGGAGCTGTGCAGTGCCTTGCTCTGTGTTTGCTTGGCCTTGCTCAGACAAGGAAACTAAGAGCCTTTACTTCACAAAACCCCACACAGGAGCTGGCAGACTGCCAAGCACAATACATGTCACATCCAACAAATGTTTACCCAGTTCTTAAGTGGAAGAATGGAAGATGTCCCTGTCCATCAGCAGAGGAGAAGGGAGCCCAGGCAGGTACTGCCTAGACTGAGTCCATGGTGTCCCCCAAACTCCTATGCTGGTTGTCCTTACTAGGAAATAGAACTGCACAGCTGTAACTAGTTGGGATGAGGTCACTGGTGCAGGTGGTCCTTTACCCATTAGGTCTAGTGACCACAGAATAAACAGCACAGGATCAGTGAGTGAAAACCAACTCTAAGAATAGTGCTCTGCTGCCCTGAGTCCTTGTTTGCACATGTAGAGACTACTGGGGTGAGCTAGGCATTGTGTGACCTTTGCTGCCCCTGGGAGCCGCCAGAGCTTGGCTGGTTCAACCAGAAGGGACCCGAGAACCTTCCTACTTATGTGTGAGTGGCTTCAACTTTTGAGCCCATGAAGCTCAGGTCAAGCTTTCAGGAAGAAACTGCTCTCTGCCTATTGGTGGACCTGAGGTGAACCTAATCCAGGTGGAGCCCCACTTGCCTGCTCATTCCAAGTGTTGAGTCCAACTGGAAGTACATAGCTGAGCAGCCCTCTCCACCCCTTCATCTTGGCCAGAAGGGCTGAGGTTGTAGGGTTTGACCCCAGCAGGCCATGTGTTCCTGTGTCATGTGGTCCAGTGCAGACTCTGCACAGTAGCTGTTGTGTCCAGTGGCATCTTTGTTAGCTGTGTGCTTCTGGGTAAATGACTGTACCTCTGAGCATGAAAATGGCCCAGCCAGAGAGACACTAGATGAACTATCTTATAGAGGCAGATCATAGAGACAGGTCTGCAGGTGCCAGGGTCTGAGAACAAGTGGGAAAGGGTTGTTTTGTGGCCAGAGGACTGTGCAAGATGAGAAAGTTGCTCCATAACATGAATGCCTGTCATAGCCAACTGCACACTTAAAAATGGCCCAGAAAGCTGAACCTGGTGGCTTGCACCTAAAATCAGCAATTGGCAGTCTGAGGCCGGAAGATTGCTGAGACTTCAAGGCCAGCCTGAGCTAAGTGAGACCCTTGGACTGGGGAGATGGCTCAGTGGGTAAAGGTGCTTGCTACCAAGTCCAAAAACCTGAGCTCAATCCCTAGGGCCCACATGTGGAAAGAGAGAACTGAGTCCTGCAAGTTGTCTGACTTTTCACACACACACCATACCACAGGCATACCCCTCCACACACATATAAACACATAAAAATGAAATTGTCTAAAAAAAAGAAATGGCTAAGATGGCAAATTTTGTGTGGGTTTTTTGCAACAATCAGAAAACACAGGTTGGATTTAGTGTTCAAATTCTCAAATTCTACCTCTGCTGTTTACAGTCTGTGACTTAAAGCAAGTGACCTCTCTCTGTGGGTCTCAGTTTCCTCCTCTTGTCTACTAGGGATAATGACAGCGATGGCTTCTGGGAATGGGGTGAATTAAATGGGTTGTAGTGGCTGATACTGTACATGCTGTCCTTGGGGACCCAATCACTGTAAATATTATTAGTGTTATATTTTATTCAAGGTGCAACACAGATAAGAAACTGAGTTCTGGGAACAGACCAAGGACAGGATTGCAGAAACCCTTGGTATGTCAAGAAGCCTTACCCTCCAATTCCAGAGGTACAAGCAAGCAGAGGGACGTGGGGACCACAAGTGAGCAAGTTGGGTTTTACCTGCCCTGTGTTCTCTGCAACTTTCACCTTCCCATTACTCCTTCCTGCCTTGGTGCCCAGAGAGGACAGAGACAAAGTGGAGCTCACACCACTCCAGTTTGGGATGCAGGAGGGAACACTGCACATTCTAAGGACCTTAAGCTGAGGCTTCCAGTGACTGGCCATGCCAGGTGCTTCTGGGCTGTGGGTCCCAGTGAAAGCCAGGCTGTCCCTGTGGGCTCAACATTGGTTGGTGAGACCCTGAGGCTGACTGTAGAGATGTGGAACCCTGGGCATCTCAGCTGAAGGCTCTGCCCTGAAATCTGGTGCCTTCCTCCCAACTAGTTCTTGGAGCTACCTGGTGTGGACCACTAAAGGTTGGAGGGCTGTGCTTAAAAGGGACCAAAACTTGGCAGTCCTGGGGGTTTTGAGACCACAGTTAAGAATCCTGGGGGCCACAGAAGCCATGATGAAGAGGATAGGGAGGGGGGCCACAGGACAACTGTGAGCAGCAGGCTTAGGGTTCAGGTGGGAAATGAGGTTAGGAGAGAAGTGCATGGGACCTGGGGTAGGTCAGATGATAAGAGATACACTTTTGTCTTGCCATTTTTCCCTTGAGATAAAACTCACAGGTTATAAAATTTGCTACCTTAGCTGGGTGTGGTGGCGTACACCTGTAGTTCCAGCACTTGGGAGGTAGAGGCAGACAGATCTCTGTGAGTTCAAGGTTAGCCTGGTCTACATAGTGAGTTCCAGGACAACTGGAGGTACAGGGAGACCCTGTCTCAAAAAGACCAAAAAAAAAATTTGCTACCTTAAAGTGCTAATACAAAGCAGATGTGGTGGCCCAGCACTCGGGAATCAGAGGC